ACTGCAGCTCATTTGCCCAGTAACAGGAAACTAGCTTTCCTGTTACTGGGAAGCCCAGTAACCCGCTAGTTCTGAACGGGACCCCGAATAAGAGGAGGCTCTGCAAAGGTCCAGGCTTTTGAGCAAGGTGATTCACCAAGCGGCTGGAGGTGTGTTGGTGGCAGACACAGGAGCAGCCTGGAGACCTCCATCGGGGAATCACAAGGTCCTTAGGGTTTTTAGTAAAGCGCCGTAGCACACACACATAAATACGCATTTTCAGAAACAGGTCTTGGCCTGCCACTGAGCTTCATTAGAGATAGGACACTTGGTCATGGAGGGCACACCAACCACCCAGGCCACCCAGCATGCCCCAGGAGGTGAGCCGGAGTAACCCCTAGGATGGCTCTTAGTCTTAACCATACCCTATGATTAAGGGGATGGAAAGCTACAAAAACCCAGTACAGGTCAGACACCCAGAAACAAAGATTGGGTCACTTTACCTGCTGAAGAATCAAGATCAATCCAGGCCTGATGGCACCTGCCTGAGGCCAAGGCACTCAGGAGGATCGCTGCAAGTTAGAGGCCAGCCCGGGCTACAAAGTGAGTTCAAGACCAGCCCAAACTACAGAAGGAGACTCTGTCTCAAAAAAAGAAAGAAAGAAAGAAAGAAAGAAAGAAAGAAAGAAAGAAAGAAAGAAAGAAAGAAAGAAAGAAAGAAAGAAAAAGAAAATCATAAATCATGACCAGCTGAGGTGCTCGCTGAAAGCAAAAGGACAAAGGAATGGACAGTGGAAGAAGGCAGATCCAAATGAGTTAATGTGCGACCAGTTACAGAGGGAGTACTTTCATGTGTATTTCTTCCTTGCTTTTTATGACCATATATCTTTGTTTTCTATCTTTTCTGTCCACTTCTCACATACTGGCACAACATAAATGGACTCTGTATGGCAGTATTTGAGTATTGTCAACTTTGCATCATAATATTTAAATTATGATATGTATCAAGAAGGGCAAACATTGCTTAGGACTTAGCACCTTCTAGAAAAGGCTAGTGTGTTCAGTTGGACACAAGAGAGTTCGATTACGTCAGATGGAATTATGATCTTGCTACTCTCTGTACTCGGAGATTAAGTGTGGTTTAAACAGATGCATACAGATGCTAAATTGATAAGGAATGGATTTAGGATTAATTCTCTGTGTCAATCTGAGAATGTACAGATATTTGGTCAAATATTACCCTGGCTGTTTCGTGATGGTGTTTTGGGGTGAGATAAAGATTTAAACTGGTAGACTGAGTAAAGCAGGCTGTCCTCTACACCGAGGACAGAATTCATCCTCTCTACTGAAGGCTAAAATGGCATGCCTGCCCCCGACTGATGAGGCCACCGGCAGTTCAAGCTCTGCGGGAGCCTGCTGGCCTTAATACTCACGCTGGAACTGGGACATCAACTCTACAGACTGAGGGCTTGCCAGCCTCGATAACTGTGCCGGGTGTGTGTGTGTGTGTGTGTGTGTGTGTGTGTGTTCTATTTCTTTGGCAATCCCTGAAAACTATGCTATTTCAGGTAAATGGTATTTTGTTTTGTTTTTCATTTCAAGTTCCAATTATTGTCCGTTGGTACCTAAGAAGCAACTGATTTCTGGATATTAACCTTAAATTCTACAATCATCCAAGATGCATTTTTCAGAAAGTAACTCTGTCATTAAGTGATACAAGACTGCATATGTATTTCTGCATCTTTTTATTCTTCTGTACATTTTTGAGATAATTCTATGCTATTACCTGCAAAACAGAAACTCTAGAGTTACTATTCTTTTTAATAACTGCCTAGTAGTTCATTTTATTTGACTATATTATAATTTAATCAGTTTTGTACCAACACACGAGCTTTGATTTTTGCTATTAAAAAGAATATTGTTTCAAGCAGGGCCGGAAGGTGGCTCAGTAGGATAAGCGCTTCCCTGGCAAGCGCGAGGGTATTGTTTCAATCTCCAGTACCGCAAAAGAAAAAAAAAAAAAGAATACTGTAATGAATTTCTTTAATCATCAGTCATTTCCATTTTTTTTTAAATGAGCTTAGGACAGGGTCTACAGGGTGTACAGGGTCTCATTACATAGATTGGACTCATAGTGATTCTCCTGTTTTCAGCTTCCCAAGTGCTGGGATTACAAGCAGGCGCCACCACACCCAGTCTCAATCTCTGTATCAGGGTGCCCCCCGGGGGGTGTGGCACAGCACGCTGGGGATCGAACCCCAGTCGCTGCACTCTGCTGAAGCAGGCGCTTTCGTCCACTAAGCTATCTGGCCACCCCCCAAATATATTTTTAAGACAAATTTCTAGAAATAAAATTCTTGGGTAGACTGTGATCTTGATAAATATTGCGTATTGCTTTTCACGGGGTTCCTGTTTGTGTGGGCATCAGCAGCCCGTGATGCCGCCAGCTCTCCTACTGCCTCACCAAGTGCAGCATATTAAAGATTTGCTTGATTTTTTAAACATAATAGGTAGAAATTATACCTTATTTTAGTTTCATTTTTCTTATTTCGGATGAGGTTGAGCCTTTTTATTATGTCTGTGTTTATTTTTCTGTACATTATTTATAGTCTTTGGTACATTATTTATAGTTTTCTGATAGGTTGCTTTATGTTCTTGTTAATCTGTAGGTTCTTTCTTATGAGTGGCAAAGAATGAGCCCATTGAATGTGGTATCAGTTGCAAATTTTCACCCAGATTGTGGTCATTTCTGGCTTATGTATATTTGCCACATGAAAAAAATACACGTACTTAATGATCGCTTCTGGTCCAGTATGAATTGCTCACTTATTCTGGGGGTCATCTAATATGGCCAAAGCTCATAAAATGACAGCTTATCCTCCCAGAGGCCACCTCTCCACTTCTCCAACCCATCCCAGAGCACAATATCCTTCCACCTTTCCCACCACCACAGGGAAGGCCACGGTCAGCTCCTCAGATATCTCTAAACATCCCCCTCAAGCCCCACCCCAACAGAAGTCCATAAAAGCCCCAGCTGTCTCTGTCTCAGGCCGGAGGATCTCCCTGCCCCATCTGCTCTCATCCTCGCCATGTCTTTGGAGTTAATAAAGGCTTCTTGTACTTAAGCCTACAAATTTTCTGTGATATGGCTCTGGGCACTGCTACAGAGTGTACCAGGATTTCTTCCAGGGACTTAGACTTTATCCTTCCCATTTACTCTTTAATCACCTGGAATTTATTTTTTTGTGAAGTGCGAGGTATGAGTTGGGTTCTCACTTCACTTCTGTGCAACGCCTAGCTAGTCAAGCCTACACCTGTGAATTTTTCAAGTTTTTTAAAATCAAGGATATATTTTGAACTTCACCACATACCTTTGCGGAATCTATGAAGATGATGGTTTTCCTTTAAATAACTAGTGTACTTTTGCGACAGCAACAGAAGCCCTGGCCCTCCGCTATCCCATGGCCGTGGGCCTCAACAAGGGCCACAAGGTGACTAAGAATGTGAGCAAACCGAGGCACAGCCGCCGCCGCCGCGGAGGTCTCACCAAACACACCAAGTTCGTGCGGGACATGATCAGGGAGGTGTGCGGCTTCGCCCCCAACGAGCGGGGCGCCACGGAGCAGCTCAAGGTCTCCAAGGACAAGCGCGCCCTCAAGTTCACCAAGAAAAGGGTGGGGACGCACATCCGTGCCAAGAGGAAGCGTGAGGAGCTGAGCAGTGTGCTGGCCGCCATGAGGAAGGCAGCTGCCAAGAAGGACTGAGCCCCTCCGGAATAAAGCTTTGCAGAAAAACAAATAAATAAATAGTATAATGATATCGTTAAATTTTGGGAAATGACACGTATTTATTTAGTTAGGATATTTCTGTGGATATTCATATGAATTTCTCTGGCCAGTATACATGTGTGTGCTGCACATACCTGATGAGATTTGGGTTTTACTCTTGCACTCACTTCATAAATACATCTGGAATGCTGCCTTCTTTTTCTGTCTTCCAGGAGGCAAGAGCAAGCCTGGCGGTGCACTCCTGCAACCCCCAGCACTTCTGGAGGCCGAGGCCAGGGCGCTGCAAGCCTGAGCATAGCTTGGCCAATTTAGCAACTTAGCAGGACCCTGTTACCAAATGAAAAAAAAAAAGAAAAGAAAAGAAAAGAAAAGGAAAGAAAGAAAGAAATGGGATTATTGCTCAGTGGGAAGGCCCTTAGGTTAAGCCTCAGTACCATCAAAAATCAACCAATACAATTGTCTCCAGTCCTTGAAGTTATACAACAGAAATCTCAGAAATAACTGGACTTGTGGACTTAGGCATGAGAAACCGCAGTCCTCTATTTCTTCCATGACAACCAGCCTTAGAATTTCCACCTCTGGAATGTTTGGGTAAATCGTATTTCCTTAGCATCCACTTTATTCATGCCTTCAAATACACTGCATGGTTTAGTAATCTCAACCTTCCTTCCTTCCTTCCATCTATAATTATTTTTCCCCTACCATTTCCTATTTTGCGCTTCTCTTCGTGTCGTGCTCACGTTAATCAACTATCTTACTGCTGCCTTTTTCAAACCTTTCATTTACTGGTCCATGTCTATTTTCTAAGTGATTGACTTCTTTTAGATTTACTGAGTCCTTTCTTCCTCTTTCCTTAGCTTTCCTCCATTTTTTCCCCTTTTTTGAATAGGATATCTCACTTATTTTGTATTTTCTGAGCATTGCATTAGAATATTCCACAGATACTAGTATGAGATGTATCTTTATAGTATTTTTTAAGATAGGTAATAATTCCGATTTTGAGGTTCTTAAGAGAAGGCGTTTCTTGCCGCAACGTGAGCACGCACCTCTCCGCCCCGCCCCGCCCCGCCCCGCCCCGCCACGCCACGCCTCGCCACGCCTCGCCACGCCTCGCCTCGCCTCTATCCCGAATGTCTCGCCTGATTGGTCGAGTTCTTGGCTCTGGCCTGGACGGTGGCCAGAGCAGGCCAAGAGGCTTCCACGCTTAACCGAGCGCTAATTGGGGTGGGGGGTAATAGAGTTTGTACCATCTCCAGTTGGGCTCGGGGACGTGACGCGCTAGCGGCGGTGGAGAGGAACCGGTGGCAGCGTCTCCAAGGCTGCTGTAGCCGCCGAGGTAACGGTGGGCAGAGCACGGTGGGGCACCGGCCGGTACCCAGGGACTCGGGAGAGAGGACCGGATTCGGCGCGTCAGCTGATTCGGTGCCCAGCCCCCCTGCCCGGAGAGGCCACACCCAGCCCTCGGGTCCCTCCGCACCAGAGGCAGGGAGCGGAACGCTTTTCTAATTCCTCTTTGTCCATTGTTATCTAGGGACTCAGACTCATTCTATAGATTGTAATCCATCAGTATTTGTCTATTTATTTATGGGTTTTTGTTTTTGTTTTTAATACCGGGCATCCATCTCGGGACCTTGTGCTCGCCAGGCAGGCACTTACGCCGCTAAGCTATCCCCCAGCCCCCTCAGGATTTATTTGTTACTCAGTTATGCCACTGTTTAGCCAGTGGGAATCTGCAAATGGATCATTTTCATTGGTTGCCGTCATCGCATCTTCTAGCACACGATATTCCAAGCCTGCCTTGGTCTCCGCTCCTGCCCCGGAGTCAGCGATTTCTCTTGCTTCCTTTTATTAAACGCATTACCGTATGACCATACATCTGGACACATCTGTTTCTGTCTATATACGTATATCTTCACATTTTTTTTAAAAAAATACAAGTTTATAATGTCACCTCAGTTCCAATGCAGCATCTTAGCGTTTGCCTGCCCTGGTCTCCTCTGTCCTTAATTGTGTGTGCCTTCTCCCGGAGCAAGAAAGTTGGCTTTCACTGTTCACAGCATGGTCACTTAGTTGCTCAAGATTGTCATGTACATAGTTTCAAAGCTGCCCACAATGCCAGCCAACCCACCAGAGTTCAGTGCTGGTGTACAGTGCTTTTTGTCTTTAGTGTCTAGAATGAAGAAGATAAAGGTTACAAAGGATGTCATATTCTGTGGTTATATAGGCTACAAAAATCTCTGTAATTATAATATGGGACTGATGTGTGAATGTATAAAAAGGCAAGTAGAATAGAACAGGAAAATGCAAAAATAGGCCCAAAGGCACATGGAAAGGTAAAGATGGTATTGTACATCTTTGGCAGAGAGCTAGATTTTGCAGTAAAATGGTACTAGGCCAAAAGGGCTGATCATTTAGGAAAGATGAAATTAGACCCGTGCCTCATATCATGTACAAAAATAAAGTCCAAGGCAAGTAGGGATCTCAGTGTGAAAAATAAAACTGTTCCAAGAAAGAGAGAAAGAAAGAAAGAAAGCACCATTTTCTAACTATAACTCAAGATCCACAAACAACAAATGAAAAGATGTGATTAATTTGACTACATAAAATAAATTGCATGACAAATCCACCACAAGTAAAGTTAAAAGACCAAAAGAAAATATTTGGAAAATGTATCTCAGGTAAAGGATTGTTAAAATTTTTAAAAATTATTTATTTATTTATTTGGTACAAGGTCTTGCTTCACAGCTCAGACTCGTAGTGATCCTCCTGTCTCAGCCTCCCCAGCACTGGATTACAGGTATGCGCCACCACACCCAGTTTCAGCTCTGGCACAGTGTGCCCCGTGTCCCAGGGGCTGGCACAGCATGTGGTACTGGGAACCAAACCCAGGTCACTGTGCTTGCCAGAGAGGCCCTTAGACTGCTGAGCTATCTCCCAGCCCAAGGATCTTTATCTCTAATAGTTAAATTTGAATTTTAGATCTCTTCCAGATTAACTTTGTCCATTTACATCAAGAGTGGCACACAGTTGAACATTTTGCGTCATGGTATGTCAACGTAGAAAATGTACTGCCTTTAAAGAGAAGTATCTTGTACAGCAATTAACCACTAAGAAGAATATATGCAGTGTATTATTTGTTGAAACTGTACTTCCGATTTGATTTGAAACTGTCTCATTGCTATCTGTTTATCAATAAAACTTTGAAAAAAAATAAAAAAATAAAAAATAAAGAGAAGTATCATTCATTTAAAAAATACTTATAGGGCCAGCCAGATAGCTCAGCAGACCAAAGCGCCTGCTCAGGCACCAGGGTCCGATCGCCAGTATACCATGCCAGCCCCGCCCTCTAGGGCTCACCGAGAGGATGATGGAGATTGGGTGTGGTGGTGTGCACCTGTAATCCCAGCACTTGGGAGGCTGATAAACAGGAGGATCACTAGGAGTCTGATCTGTGTAGTGAGGCCCTAGTAGACCCTGTACTAAATACATAAAAAGTAAATAAATAAAATAAATAAAAAATACCTACATCCTGTGTCTTAGGGCTTGAGAAGTAAACCCTGAGGTAGGAATTAATGTTTAAATGATTGATTACAGAGTTTCCAGAAAAAAAAAAAAAATAGAAGAGGAACAGCAGGAGGATGGATGGAAAGAAAGCAAGCCAGCAGCCAGCCAGGCACTCTGTGACACTCCCCCCCCCCCAAAGCTGCAGGCTGCACAGCTGTGATGTCCATGTAGTGAGTTTTTTATTGACCTCACCCAGAGAACCAGCAAGCTGGTGTTCAGTACATCTCTGCCCGTAGGTCATCGGCCCAGGGCTGCCCTCAGGAAGGAGCTAAATTCCCAGGTACTTCAGATTTTATAAAAAATGAATACTGGGGCTGGGGAGATGGCTCAGTAGAATAAGCGCTTACCTGGCAAGCGCAAGGGTCTGAGTTCAATTCCCAGTTCCGCCAAAAATAAATAAATAAATAAATAATGAATACTTAGCTTAGATAATATAAAGTCTCTCCAGCACCTTCTTTTTAATTTTTATCTGTGCACACGTGGAGTTGCAGGTCTGTAAAACTGAGAAACCGAAGCTTTCATTCTGTCCAAGTAGACTAGGATCTGTGCTCTTTGTGTCGATTGTCGTCAGTGTTTTTGTTTCTGAGGTGGGCTCGCTATGTGTTCTAGGCTGGCCTTGAGCTCACTGGGTAGCTTAGGCCAGCCTCAATTCATGGCAACCCTCTTGCCTCAGCCTCCGGAGTGGAGGGATTACAGGCACGCGCCACCACGTCTGCCTCTTCAAGTTTAAATGTAGGGTGCAACAGGAACACCGCGGCGGTGTGCTGCGGGCTGCGGGTCTTAGTTCTCTGTGATCCGTCTGCTTCAGGCTGTTTTCAGAGCTCACGGGCGTCTTTGCTGTGGAATAAAGTCTGTCTTAAGAAATCTGTAGACTTCGTCAGATCAGGGTGTACAAGCCAGCTTCCTGTTGTAGAAAGACGTTTATTTTTAAGTTAATGATCATCAGTAAATACATGTCTGAACAATGTGCTTCTTTCATCATTTGTACATCTTATACATATAATAATGTAAAGAATGTTTATTCTTTGTTTTTTAAAAATTACCAGCCGAGGAGATGGCTCAGTGGAATAAGTGCTTCCCTGGCAAGCTCAAGGACGTGAGTTCAATCCCTGGTTCCACCAAACCCCCCCCCCAAAAAAAAAAATTACCTAACTGGTATCTCAAGGAAATAAGCATCCCTAGCTTTAAAAGACACAAAAATTAATTTAAAATGAGGCGCAGAGGTAGTATTGTTGAATTTCTCCCCGGGGAAGACCCCTCGCTTCCTTTCCTTCCTTCCCTATGGTGCTAGGTGCTCAGCCCACACTTCAATGAAACATTTTGTAACTGTCAAGTTACTCATTTTTGAGGAACCAGATGAGAATTTTCAACTAGGGCAGTGGTGGCACACCTGTGGCATTGGTGTTGTTTTTCTTTTAAGCACTTAGCAGTCCAATTATGTAAGTTTAGGAAAAATTTGCATTTTTTCATTAATTTTATAAGATAATATAACAGGAAATATAAAAATGACAGTTTCATCCAGTGTATTGAGTACAAGAATTGAGCAGCTGAAACGACACCTGAGAGTGCTGCCAGAGTAAACTGTAAGGTGGTTAAGTGGTGAAGACAGACGTGTTCATGTATGAGTTGTTTTTTCTCAACCAAACCTTAGTATTCAGGCTTAACTTCAGTGTTGGCACTTCGCAGTAAACAAGTGGGTTTTGGGTTGCAGTTGAGCGCTTGTCTCTAAGAGGTTTGCCGTCACTGAGCTAGGGATTAAGGGTCAAATCTATGAGATTTTCTAGATGTTAAATGCAGGTATGGAGGTGTGCACAGGGCTGAGCTCTGGCTGGATAGCTGGGAAGCACTCTGTGGTTGCCCCTGCTGAGAGGAAGGTTGCCCACAGTCTCTGTCCAGCTCACTTCTGTAGGAAGGGACGCTTGGTCACAAGCATTTCTCCAGTGTCATTACGAAAACTATTGCATCTACTTAGTTAATTTTTCAACATTCTTAGTTAGCGTTTCTAAGCATGTGTTGCTTTCTGCCTCGGTGCCAAGTAATATGCCAGATGTGACCAAGAAGCTAATGAGATCCACTTCCGGTGAGGAAGGGTCAGCCCGTGGAGGGATCGGGTTTTACAGTACTTTTGGAAGGGGGTAATGTTTTTCTCATTGACACACATAAAAACAATAGCCAAGGCTTTTTCATTTTACCTTTTTTTATTGAAGCTCTTTGCTGAAATTGAAGAAGGTTGGATTATGTCTAAGTATTTGTAATAGGGCTAGCAGCGTATACACAAGAAGAAGAAACAAGGCAGGGCGTGGTGGCACACGCCTGATCCAGCACTTGGGAGGCTGAGGCAGGAGGATTGCTATGAATGTGAGCTACACAGTGAGTTCAAAACCAGCCTGCACTATTGAGCAAGAAAGATTCTGCCTCATAACAAAACAAAGCAAAATGAAGGGGAAACAGCTGACCCCCTGTACCCAGCAGAAGGAAAAAGTGGATGAATCTTTTTTAAGTCTCCAGTTCTTTGTTCCAAGATTTTGTATTTAGGTATAATTAATAGAATAAATGGTCTCTGCCAGTGGTGGAATGGAAATGCCTTTTGTTCTAGTACGAAGAGGAATTAACATTTTTTTCTTTTTGAAGTACTGGGAGGAAATTGTGTGTTCTTTGTGACCCAGGAAGAACCAAGCGGTCCTGCTGTTGTTTGTAGAACGGAGGGCAAAGTTTGTACCAACTTCAGGAAAGTCGTGACGTGCTGTCAGATCATGGTAAGAGCTGTCATTGTGCAGCGTTGCTAATTAGGATGCTGTTAATATCTACTTGCTGTCTCAGTATACAGAGGCAGGATCTAGTCACGGTGTAGCGGCGAAGTGCTGCACTGTTTGTGTTTCCTGCTCTAAATAAAACTGTCACCTTCCGGGCCCTGCCTGCTGTGGTGCCCCAGCAGCAGGGATGCTTGGTCTCAGACAGGCCACCATTCCAGCCTGGGGTTGACGAGCCAGTCTTGACAACAGGGCGTGTCAGTATTTTGCAGGTGGTGATGGAAGGGGAAAGATGTCACCTGGACAGGATTGGGATAAGAGACAAATGGGATTTTTGTCACTCACGACTAATTGGTGAGTATTCCAATCCATGTTTAATTACATTGTCAATGTGACAGAAGTTGGTTGGGAAGGTGGTTGCAGTCCTTTGCCCCCTCTAGCTGTGGGGGAATAAAGACCACCCTCCACAGTGACGTGTACTGTCCCGTACAGTTCATCACTACTTTGTGTCACACAAAAGTGGGCAGAAGTCACCCTTCAGATCCGAATTGGACGAATGGCTTGTAATCTCATTGGCTGACCATAGCTTTGTCCCACCTCATGCCCACCTAAGCGAGTTCCCATGTCTTCTCCATCGCCTTAGACCCGCCTCACTGCGTGGTTTTCCTCTATAAAAGTCCCTGAAGAGACAGCTTCCCAGGACTACCCGCTCGGGCCCCCTCCTGACTCTCTCTTGGACAGGAGCTTTCTTTCCCTCAATAAATATATTCTGCTCATAAAAAAAAAAAAAGAATTGGACATATGCTGTCACGTCAGATTCTTGATTGTTACCTACAGCTAAGGGCTGCAGCTATCCGCGGTGACCTGCCCACCACCCAGCAAAGGCGTAGTCTCAGCTGTGTTTCACTTGCTTTGGCTCCTTCACTTTTATTCTGGTGAAATAAATTCATGTATTGGTTTTCAAGGTCGTTTTTGTTAGTCAGAGAACTTTTACTTTTTTTATTTTTTATTTATTTTTTTTTCAAATTTCAGATCAATTTTATTGGAGCGTAATTTTCTTTTTTTTTCTTCAAAATTTTATTGATAAACAGATAGCAATGAGACAGTTTCAAATCAAATCGGAAGTACAGTTTCAACAAATAACACACTGCATATATTCTTCTTAGTGGTTAATTGCTGTACAAGATGCAGACTTGAGATTCCTATTTACAAACACCATTAGAACAAATCATTCTATTCATTAAGAGAATGCAACTATACATCCATCCTAACCACTTTGAATACACAGATACAAAATGGACATTCATCGGTATACCCCATTTTTTCTAAGTTCCGTTATTGAATATTATAGGTGTGTAAACTCAGCAAAATATTCTAAAAGAGTCCAGTAGCCCATAATAGCATTGGGTCTTCTGTTTAACTGGCAATGTCAGAAATTGTTGACCTGAGCCCCCACAGCTCAACAACAGCATGGCTTTACTTCCTATATTTCGTCTTCATACTTTTCTGCTGGATGGTTAAGACCAAGGTAAAGCAGGACCTGTGCAACAAGAGTTGTAGCTTTTTGGTCTGAGAAGGTCAGTGAAATCCCCTCAGGATTTATCCTGAGATCCTGTACCTCAGATTGTAGAACCTTTGTCAGTGCAGCCATGTGGATGAGTCACGGCCATTGCTTGACCAGTGTGCTCTCTGTGAAAGCCTGAGAGAGTGTTTTCTCCCCATGTGACTCTCCTTAGGCACACTCTACGTCATCGATCACTTTCCTCTTTGGCCCCATAATCTTCTTGATCAGAAAATTTGGGACACTACTGAGGTCCATGACATTACAGTACAAGTTCTCATATGTCCTGAGTCTTAAATGACCTTAGAAGGTTAGGGCCAAAATGTTGGCTTTCCTTGTAGCCCTCCTTTTTCTCTAATTTTGGTCTGCAAACTTAGGTTGTTAGCCATCCAGAAGACAAGCTTATTGTTATTATCAAACAATTAAGGCTATCAAGCTTGACCTCACTCTCTCACTGCATTTCAAACATCTTAGGCATAATAAGAACAGGTATTTTTTGTCAAGTATTGATATGTTGAACTTTAAGTCCCTACATAATATGATAAAAAACATTTAAAAATTAGATTATATTTTAAAAATAGGATAAAGAATTCTATACTTCTCATGTTTGCACATAAGTCCAAAAATCCCACCATATACAACCTTGAAGCAGGACAGTCCCACAATATTCCTTTTCCTGTCTCTTGCTTTCATTCACCACCCCCTTCTTCTTGAACATCCACCTACCCGAGAGACATCTTAGCAGTAACTGTTAGCCAGAGAACTTTTAACTGAGGCAGATGAATCAGGAAAGTAACCTAGCACTTTGTAATGTAACGTTTGCTTAAGTTGTGCTCGGGGACATCAGTGGTCGACCCGTGTTCTGTGAAGAAGCAAGTGTGACATGTGACCCAGGTTTTGGACACTGTAGTGTTCATACTAGAAGGTTTAAAAACTCAGTGCCAACGTCCGCTCTAGTTCTCTCCCTCACACATACTTTTTAAGCCGTGTTGCTCACGTCTTGTGCTCGTGTGCAGCTTGTCACGGGCGCTTTCTGTGCACGTTCTGGTAGCTGCTTATGTTGTCCTGGCTTACTTTTAGCAGTGTCAGCACTAATGAACCGCGCCTTGCTACTAATGGAGGACTCATTTTATTTTCATAACAGCAATTGATAGAAGATGACAAGGAGGTAATCGGAAATGTCATGAACTTGACTTGGGGCGTAGAGTCAGAAGTGAAGTAGCATGATGTCTGGATAAACCTCGGTCTTCTTCTCTCAGCTTGGTGGTTTCATATTTTCAGTTCCTCCAGCAAGGATATTTGATTGGTTGTTCTGACAGAGAGCCGTGGTGGCAAATATGTTTCAGTCACTTGTGTCACAGCACAAGAACTGAGCAGAAAGCAATGGTAATTGTGGGTGAAAATAATAAATGTTTAGAGGTTGCTTCCCACTGGAAAAGGCTTAGGTCCCGGACCAAGGCTGTCCCGTAGACCGTTGTGCAGCGGCAGGAATGCTGTGCACACGCTGCTCAGTAGGAGTGGCAGCCACACGCAGGGCGGGATGTGACTCACGCAGCAGAGAAACGGGGTTTTCTCTTTATTTTGTTTTGTTTGTTATCTTGAGACAGAGTCTCACTGTGTAGTACAGGCTGGCCTTGAACTGGCAGTGATCCTCCTGCCTCTGTCTCCCAAGTGCTGGGATTACAGGCGTACACTAACACACCTGACTTCTATTTAGTTTTATTTATTTTACATCTAAAGTTACATGTGGGGGCTGGGGAGATGGCTCAGTGGAATAAGCACTTCCCGGGCAAGCGCAAGGGTCTGAGTTCAATCCCTGGTTCCGCTAAATAAATAAATAAATAAATAAAATTACATGTAGCGAGTGACTGATTAGTGGAACAGCATAATCTGAAACAGTAGTTAACATTTTAGAATTTACATTTGTACTTAACATTTGCAAGAATGTGTCCAAATGGATTATGTAACTGTCCTTTTGTTCTGTCTCCGGCATTGACAACTGTTCCAGGCTGCCTACCACGCCTGCCTTTGCTGTAGGCTTTAATTTCACCACCCCCTACCCAGTACCATTACCTGCTTTATAAATCGTAGTGCTGGAGTGCTGCATCCAACGCAGCTGCCAGGGGTGGAGGATGAAGCGAAACAAGAGCCAAGGTGCAGGAAGCTGGGATCGGGCGGAGCCGCCGGTCCTGGTGGGACAGACAGAACCGCCCAACAGCTGCAGCTGCTTTATTTATCTGCTTGGGAGGCTGTGGTCAGTTGAAACCCCTCTGCCTAGCAACTTGTCTGCCTGGCTCAGCTCGGGTGCTCGGTGTTCTCAGAACTGGCCTTGCTCAGCCTGCATGGGTGACCAGCCCCCAGCTTCAGCCTCTCCCACGCTGCACACGCCTGGTAAAAATCACACTTCGCAGCAAGATGAGTCTTGAATCCTTTTGTGTTAACCACAGCATTTGTTTTTTTCTAGATGTTCTAATCAATATCTACTTCTAAATTTTATTTTGTATAGAGTCTCACTAAGCAGTTCACACTCGTAGTGACCCTCTTGTCTCAGCCCACCCAGCGCTGGGATTCCAGGTGTGAACCTCCACGCTCGGTTTCCAGCCCAGCGTTCTGGGGCCGGCTCGGCACGTGGTACCAGGGATCGAACCTGGCTCCTTGTGCTTGCCAGGCAAGACCTCTGAGCTGTCTCCCCAGCCCCAATATCTAGTTCTTAAATTAAAAGCAGTCTATAATTTGGGGCAAATAATCAGCCGATAATGGTTAGCAAATTATTCACATTGTTCAGTAGTTTCTGTACTACCTGATTGGTAATACTCTGATTAATAATTTTTCTTTTTTTTTCTCATAGTTGGCAGCGAGGACTGATTTAGGAGACAGTTATGGCCCTACATATCAAACACGAGGATTCCTTGTGACGTTGAGTTTTGAGTTTTTCTGCAGTGGAGGCAACATCAGTGCGCACAGTCGGCCTCATCTCGCTGCTGGCGGGAGGGGCGGGCCGCTGCTGCGGCTGAGAAGGCGGCGGGGAGGGGCCGGCGGCGGGGAGGGGCCGGCGGCGGGGAGGGGCCGGCGGCGGGGAGGGGCCGGCG